AGGGGGATTTTAATGTGAAGAGGGCTCCTGAGGTGAAGGGGGTGCTTCTGATGTGAAGAGGGACTACTGGTGTAAAGGGGGATTCTGATGTGAAAGAGGAGATTCTAATGTGAAGAGGGCTCCTGATGTGAAGAGGGACTACTGATGTAAAGGGGACTACTGATGTGAAAAAGTGGATTCTAATGTGAAGGGGGCTCCTGATGTGATGGGGGGACTTCAATGTGAAGGGTGAACCACACTTTTGTGTGTGTTTTTGCTTGGGTTCCCCCTTAAAATCCATTACATTTCAGACTGGGGTGCCTTGAGATTTTGCATACTTTTAGAGGGTGCCATGACTGCATAAAGGTTGAGAAATGCTGACATAATGCAGTGGGGCTGTTTGGCTCCCTATGTGGCCTATAATGTATGCTTAGATCCTTGGTTTATATAAATATTCAACTCCATGCTTTTGATATAGAAATAGTGAGAGTCATCTTTGTGGCTTTTCATTGCCTTTTTTTTCACTTAGGTGTACAAGGTGTTGGGCATGGACACAAAAATAGATGGATACCTTAATCTATTTATTGAGAGTTATATTTTTTAACAAAACTATATTAAAACATATAATTTTTATAAAAGATATATCAAAAAACATCTGTGTACATATAACTCTTCCTTTTGGCTTTGATACAGACCCAGTTCATGAACCTGCAGCCAACTGTGTTTCTTTCAGGCCCAGGATGGTCATCTGGCCATACTGCCACTTGCCTGGAGAGTTGATATGTCTAATGAGCAACTGAACTATTTAACTATTTGAGCCGCTAATTCAACCCACAGGGGTGTCTCACTACACAGTATATCTCCCTTGGACACATGAGCACCGACTGACACAGTGTGTTTGACCATCCAGCGTTCGCGCCGTACACCGTACAGCCACACACTCCTCAGCGCGGATTCCAACTGCCGGGCAAGGTGTTATTTTCTTTTCCCGCTCCAGCTGCCGCGGCTCGGCCTGGCCAGCCGAGGACGCGGCTTTGGGGATACCCCGGACACTCCAGACTGGTAGTATACAGACCATCATCGTCACCCTCACATGATTGCAGGGACTTCGGATGCCCACCTACGACATCTTAACCGTAAGTCACAAACCTACCACTCCAATCCTAACCATTTAGCCAGTCATAGCAGGCTGCATAGCATTCATTTATCTATTTATTTAGCATCTCAGGTAGTTGCACTCTTCTATATACTGTTTTTTGATGAACTATTTAACTGTGAATTTATCATTCGACCCTGTATCAATGTAATACCGGAAGGCAAAGCAGCCCATGACCGAGCTGTCAGCATTTTAAAATGATTTCCAGCACTATTTTGCTTCCTTCAGAGCAGAATACTATTTAGAAAGAGACTCAGGACCCTATACCACACTGCTTTAAATATTTAGTACATTGAAAAGTATTTTAGTTTTCATTAAATATGGCATAGAGAATAAAAAATACATAGTTATGGTTTCCAGGGACAAATCAGACTGTCCTTGAAGTCAAGGACAACTGGCATCCAAATGACCTATACAGATTTTATAGCGGAGCCCCTGTGCGGCACTATCATTGGAAACAGTTCTAATACATAAAGATTACTGCTTCACTGGGCATCATAAATACACACATATGTGGGGCTGTGGACTTCATAAAGTGAAACTGCGAGGATTGAAATACAAAAGTTGCCATTTCTCACTTGCTTTTTTCAAGGTGAATGTTACAGGGCTGTCATACCGGTCCTAGCTGTACTACCTAATGTGGCAAATGACCCTGCAGAGCATTGTTTACATGCAAGCTCACCACATAATATTCTCACATTGCAATTTCAGGAACAGAAACCAACCCACCATTGCTATCAATTGTTAGGGCACAGTCCGCCCCCCTCCCTTCCCCACTGACTCCCAATAGTTGTAATAATACACCTAACATGTAGAAATAACATCATACCTAAACACCATGCACAATGTACTAAAAACTTACTCAACCCCTCAAAAACATTCCAAAAATGACCAGCATCAGCATACCAAGACATTTTGGAAAATTTCATGCTCCCAACTTTCTAGGAACAATTGACCCCTTCCTGTTCCAACATGACTGCGCACCAGTGCACAAAGCATAATTACATGGATGAGCGAGTTTGGGGTGGAGGAACTTGACTGGCCTGCACAGAGTCCTGACCTCAACCCGATAGAACACCTTTGGGATGAATAAGAGCGGAGACTGTGAGCCCGGCCTTCTCGTCCAACATCAGTACCTGACCTCACAAGTGCGCTTCTGGAAGAATGGTCAAACATTCCCATAGACACACTCCTAAACCTTGTGGACGCCTTCCCAGAAGAGTTGAGGCTGTTACAGCTGCAAAGGACGGACCAACTCAATATTGAACCCTTCGGACTAAGACTGGGATGCCATTAAAGTTCATGTTCAGTCATTTGAGGCACCCCTGCCAAACAACATAGCCCAGTCAGTGACCATGCTCTTCTCCACTGTAGGTAAGCAATAAAGCTTGGCAGAGTTGCTAAAACATCCTATTAATTATTGACATATTTAAATTACTGTATTCACATTTCCAATTGTTAATGCGATTCAGTCTGTCCTGTTTTATGTGCATTCAATCAGTCACAGACCCTGCGTAGTTCGTTCGTGTCATTCATTGAAGCAATAAACTACCAATCCAACATCTTGATCACTGACCTAACCCCAAGCCAGGTGATTAGGCCATGAAGGAGGATTATAATGCTGAAGAAGTTCTCACCCTGCGCGTGTACCAATGAAAGCACTGTAAATGCAACACAGCCCGATCGGTTCACGCTAACGAGTCCTGCTGTGAAGGCTGCAGGAAGCTTACATAAATATAGATATGTGTACTTACGGTAGCTGCATTTAAGAATACTTACATGAATGGCTACTTATATTAAGCAAGGATCTTTTTTTAATCTTATATAAAATGTGGTGACATTGCTAAATAAGGTGATTTACTTAGTTGTAAGTAAAACAAAGAAACATAAAAGAACGGCCTTCTACAAAAAAAATCCATCTACGATCTACAAAGCTTTAAACACACATGGCACTCAATGCCCACTTTCTGAATGGAGTCCTCAGTGTGGGCATCGTACATACCTATTGGCCCCAAAAATACAAGAGGAAGGGGCTGCAAAGTCTGATTGGAGATTATAATCATTCAATGCTGATTTATAATCCCCATTATAACATTTCTGGCTGATCCAACAGCTGCATTCACATAACAACCAGCCCAGTATTCTCCTCATTGTAGTCCTAGCAACAGCCAGTGTCGGCCTCACAACGAATGTATCCGTTCTCAGAACGCTGGAGCAAAACAAAGTAAAGTCTGCCAGAGAAAAAAAAATGGATATTGACCTGTCACAGTGCAACCCAATTCAATGCTTTATATCTGTGCTAAAACATCATTCCCCATCTTCTGGGGTCATATACAGGACACAAGATTGTTTCCTTTTCCTAAAACTTCACTCCAAATATTTATCCTGATGGCAGGTTTTATATTATACACAATATTAATATATATATACACATCCTCCATGTTTCCTTTCATTCAGTTTGTGTATATAATGCATAGAACATCTGTGTATCACTTGTTTTGTATTTGTCTGCAAATAAATACAGAATATAAACATTGTGCAAATATTAAATGTATCCAATTATTACAGAGACAGTATACTAATGTACTAATGTATCAATAATGTATGTAAGATGTTTATATAAACATGATAGATAGTGATTGTTCAATGGATATCGTATTGATATGCTATGTATTATTGCCTAGTGTATCATATAGTGTTATCCCCTAGATCTAACTAACTCATGCAATGGATACTGAATCATATATAGTATACATCATCTATATACAGTAGATAGATGATAGATAATGTACTGATACTGTATCTATCTATGATAGATAGATAGATAGATAGATAGATAGATAGATAGATAGATAGATAGATAGATAGATAGATAGATAGATACTGTATCTATGTCTTGCCTATACAGGTATATTATATGGTGTTATCCCCTATAGGTCTAACCAACTGAATCGTATATAATATCTATCTATCATCTATGTATAGTAGATAGGTGATAGATATTGTATTGGTACTGTATATATTGGCCTGTATAGGTGTATTATATGGTGTTATCCCCTAGATCTCACAAACGTATGTAATGGATACTACTGAGTTGTATATAGTATCTATCATCTATATATAGATGATAGATATTGTATTGATAATGTATCTATATATTGCTTCTATAGGTATATTATATATTGATATCCCCTAGATCTAGCCAACGTATGTAATAGATACCAAATTGTATATAGTATCTGTCATCTATATGTAGTAGATAGATGATCGATATATACCGTATTGATGCTGTGTTTATGTCTTGCCTATACAGGTGTATCATATTGGTGTTTATCATATTGGTGTGTATTATATATATATATTGGTGTTTATCATATTGGTGTGTATTATATATATATATTGGTGTTTATTATATTGGTGTGTATTGTAAAGTGTCATCCCTTAAATCGAACCAACTTACATAGTAGACACCGAATTGTATATAGTATCTTTCAGATAGATGATAGATATATACTGTATTGATCCTGTATCTATGTCTTGCCTACAGGTGTATCATATTGGTGTGTATTATATATATTGGTGTGTATCATATTGGTGTGTATTATATATATTGGTGTTTATCATATTGGTGTGTATTATATTTATATATTGGTGTGTATCATATTGCTGTATATTATATATATTGGTGTTTATCATATTGGTGTGTATTATATTTATATATTGGTGTGTATCATAAAGTGGTATCCCTTAGATCGAACCAACTTATGTAATGGATACCGAATCGTGTGTGTATGTAGAATAGAAGTCTGCACATCCGATCGGACCCCCCAGCAGTGTGGCCCCTCTCTCTCTCTCTCTCTCTCACCTCCTTGGTGCTCAGGTTGCCCCGCACATATTTGGCCGAACTGATCCGCAGGTATCCGAGGACAAGCAGCAGCAGCCCGGGGCCCGCCGGGGGCCCCATCACCGGGACCGGGGGAGGATGATGACAGAAGGACAGGACAGATGAGACACGCAGTACCGGGCCGGTTCCGAGTACTGGAGGGGGATCGGATGATCAACAGAAGAGATGGTTCACCGCTGGAGACCGGGCGAGGGGACACGGACAGCTGCAGCTCCGGAATGCATCACCGGGGAGGGAGGCGGTACCGGGAGAACCGAGCAGAGCGCAGGCACAGGACACGGGGGCGAGCACTGCGGAGACACGGGATACAGGAGGGAAGCTGGAGGGGAGGGGGGGACCTCTATATACTGGAGGGGAGCAGGATTCGGAGAGGAGAGGATCAGGGGGTCCCTGTATATAGGAGGGGAGCAGGACCTCCATATACTGGAAATAAGAGGATCAGGGGGTCCCTCTATATAAGAGGGGAGCAGGACCTCCATATACTGGAGATGAGAGGAACAGGGGGTCCCTATATATATAGGAGGTGAGGGGGGTCCTCTATATACTGGAGGGGAGCAGAATCCAGAGAGGATCAGGGGGTCCCTGTGTAGGAGGAGGTCCTCTATATACTGGAGGGGAGCAGGATCCAGAGAGGAGAGGATCAGGGGGTCCTGTATATAGGAGGGGGTCCTCTATATATACTGGAGGGGAGCAGGATTCGGAGAGGAGAGGATAAGGGGGTCCTGTATATAGGAGGGGAGCAGGACCTCCATATACTGGAAATGAGAGGATCAGGGGGTCCCTGTATATAAGAGGGGAGCAGGACCTCCATATACTGGAGAGGATCAGGGGGTCCCTGTATATAGGAGGGGAGGGGGGTCCTCTATATACTGGAGGGGAGAAGGATCCGGAGAGGAGAGGATCAGGGGGTCCTTGTATATAGGAGGGGGTCCTCTATATACTGGAGGGGAGCAGGATCCATAGAGGAGAGGATCAGGGGGTCCTGTATATAAGAGGGGGGGGGGGTCCTCTATATACTGGAGGGGAGCAGGATCCAAAGAGGAGAGGATCAGGGGGTCCCTCTATATAGGAGGGGAGGGGTTCCTCTATATACTGGAGGGGAGTAGGATCTGGAGAGGATCAGGGGGTCCATGTATATAGGACGGGAGGGGGGTCCTCTATATACTGGAGGGGAGTAGGATCTGGAGAGGATCAGGGGGTCCATGTGTAAAGTAGGGGGACATCTATATACTAGAGGGAAGCAGGATCCAGAGAGGAGAGGATCAGGGGTCCCTGTATAGAGAAGGGGAACAGGACCACTATATAATGGAGGGGAGCAGGATCCAGAAAGGAGATGATCAGGGGTTCCCTGTATATAGGAGGGGAGGGGGACCTCTATATACTGGAGATGAGAGGATCACGGGGTCCCTGTATATATGAGGGGGGACCTCTATATACTGGAGATGAGAGGATCAGGTGGTCCCTGTATATAGGAGGGGAGCAGGACTTCCATATATAATGGAGGGAAGCCGGATCAAGAATAGAGGGCATCGGGGGGCCCCCGTATATAGGACAAAAGGGGGCTTTAGAGGAGAGTGGGATCCAGAGAAGAGGGAAGAAGATTGATTGCCCTGTACAAAGGAGGGGGGAGAGCTTCCTATACTGGAGAGAGATCAGGATTCATAGATAAATAGGGTCAGGAGCTTTGGTTCCTTCTATGTGGGAGTGTGGGAGGGGGCTTCCTATACTGGGTATTGCAGAATATACAAAGAAGGGGGATCAGGATCTGAGGGATTTTCAATACTAGAAGGGATCAGGATAAATAAAGTAGGGAGTCATGATCTGGGGTTCCTGGTAAAAGGAAGGAGAGGGGCCTATGTATCCTGGAGGAGAGCAGGATCCGCATAGGCTGAACTTGATGGACCTGTGGATCTGGAGGTCTTTGCTTAATGAGCGGTATTAGCATCCAGAGAGTGGGGATAAGAATCTAGGGGTCCTGATACTGGAGGGGATAAGGATCTGGAGGTCTCAGTGTACTGGAGGAGAATGGTCTGTCTATACAGGAGAGGTACTCGATCTAGAGGAAAGAAGTTTCAGGATCCAGGGGATCTCTATATATTAAAGCATAGGAGGCTCTCTACACTGGAGGTAATTAGGATTTAGAAGCACATGTGGCTTTCTGAAGGGAGATATCAGAAATGGGATATCTGTATACTGCAGGGGGATCAGTGTCCCAAGGGAAACTGTACACAAGAGTGCAGGGAAGCTCTGGAGGGAGATCAGGATTTTTTAGTTTTTGTATAGTGGAGTGGAAAGGACAATGGCAGTGTTAGGGCATTCTTGGGGGTGTTATAGCACCCTCAAATGTTATTCTAGAACCCCCATTAGCAGCCACTATTACAGAGTCTGCATTTAACAGTCGAAGACATTTTTAGAAATAAATTGGCCAATTCCAGCATTGACAGTATCCATTGGTGCCAGTGTGAGGGGCATACTACCCCCACTAACACCAATGTGATGGGCATTGCTACGCCCACTAATAACCAATGTGAGGGATATACTACACCTACTAACACCAATGTGATGGGCATTACTACGCCCACTAATAACCAATGTGAGGGATATACTACTCTCACTAACACCAATGTGATGGGCATTCCTACGCCCACTAATAACCAATGTGAGGGATATACTACTCCCACTAACACCAATGTGATGGGCATTCCTACGCCCACTAATAACCAATGTGAGGAATATACTACCCCCACTAACACCAATGTGATGGGCATTCCTACACCCACTGACAACCAATGTGAGGGGCATACGACTCCCACTAACACCAATTTGAGAGGCATTCATGCACCCAATGACCACCATTGTGAGGGGCATACTACTCCCACTAACACCAATGTGATGGGCATTCCTACGCCCACTGAGAACCAATGTGAGGAATAGACTACTCCCTCTAACACCAAAGTAAATGGAATTCCCACACCTACTGGCATCAATATGAGGGAGGAAATTTCTATGCTCCTCTGCTCCATCTAGTTGCGGGAATGCCGTGGGAACGGCATTCACCCAGCGTATAGCTGATAAGAAGTTTTATAAATCAACCCCATAGTGTTTGGAAGATCATGGCGGTGGAAGATGCGATTTAGAGGCTGTTTTAGGCTAGGTTCACACCTAGGCATTTGCAGTTTCACGTGTTTTTCTGTGCTTTTCGTGCAATTTTTGCACAGTTTTGCTTTTAAAAACACACTTTTCTCCCTTTATAGAGATGTCCATGGGACCAAAACCACACGGGATCTGGTTCAAAACAGCTCCTGCATCTTTTCACACGACGGGCATTTTTCTAAGTGTGACGCAACGCTAAGGTTTGAACAAATGCCATTGACTTGCATGGAAATGTGTGTTTTGCGAGTTTTCACGCACGTAGATCCCTGCATAAAAATGCTCAGGTGTGAACCAGGCCTCACACTTCAAGCAGCAACTTTGTTTGGAGGACTGTATTCATTTTTGTGCCTCATTGTTACATTATGTGAACATTTTTCCTGTTATTGTTTGTTTGAGGTTATGAGACATATTGGCATATTTGTTTCAGTTTTGTCATCTTTTTCACTATAGGCAGCGCAACGCATATTGGATTTAATATGATTTGAGGAGGATAATGTTCCCACTGACACCAATGTAATGAGGGCACTGCACTGACCACCAGCATAAAAGGGAACTTCTCTACTAACCACCAACTTAAGGTGAAACTTTTTCAATGACACCAATGTAATAAGTGCACCAACCACCAGTGTGAAAGGGAACTTCTACTAACCACCAACTTAAGGTGACCCTTCTCCACTGACACCAATGTTAGGGGTCACTTCTCCACTGACACCAATGTAAGGGACGCTTCATCAATTACACCAATGCAAGTGTGCACAGCCTATTGCATTAGGGTGTGCACACAAAAGTACAAGCACACACGTGTGTGTGTGTATATATATATATATATATATATATATATATATATATTACATACACAGACCTGAGGCATCACAGATTTCAATCTCTTCAATTCGTCACTTACCTCTTCCAGCAGGGGTGCAGTATTGAAGCAGGGAGCCTGGCAGGTGGTCATGTGACCATCTTCCTGGCTTCCTGATTGGATGGGAAGCCGCAGCCACACTCCCTCCCAGCTTCCCAGGCACCAAGGACTGCACCTGTTGTGTGAGGGATGTAAGTGGCAAGTCCTACTGCGCTCTGTATCGCTGAATCAGTCACAGATAGATCTTTGTGAATGCTCCACCGGCTCAGTGGCTAAAAACGGCTGTTGTGGTTTCGGTGCTGTGCTCGGGGTAATTAGGATGTTTCCAGGCACACCTGGCACAGCCCTTGCGCACGCCTATGGTAAGGTAAATTTTTTTAAAGTCCCCCCACGTAGAAAGGAGGTGGCCCGTCTACATTGGAGGGCATTAACTGCTTGCGGACTCTGAGCAGTAAGTGGGACACACACATACAAACGCAAACATGCAACGGGTGGACCTACGTGCAAAAACAATGATTGCTACACACGTTACATATCACCGCGAACGACGGAGTGCGAGCAATAATTTCAGGGCCATCAATCACTGTTAACAATAAATTGATGAGCAATAAAAGCTTTTGAAGCGTTGCCTATGGGCAATTTTGGGTATTGTAGTTTTTTTGCAATTTCGCTGGTGCGCACAATTTTAAGGCTTGACAAGTTTGGTGTCTATTTACCTGACGCGACCCCGTCTTTTATATTTTACCAAAAAATTGGGTAATAAATGTTTCATAACATAATGTAGGGAAAACAGTTTCTATTTTTTATTAAAAACATTTTTATATAATAAAAAATAAAAAAAATAAATACCACCAAAAGAAAGCTCTATCTGTCCCCAAAAAATGATATTATTATTATTATACAGGATTTATAGAGTGCCAACAGTTTGCGCAGCGCTTTACAATATAAGGAAGACATTACAATCACAATACAATTCAAGACAAGATGGACAAGATGGTAAGGAAGGCCTTGCCCGTGAGGGCTTACAATCTAAAAGGGAGGGGCAAGTGATAGATGAGGAGGTAGCTGTGTGGGGATGAATTGTTTGAGAAAGTGATATTTGAGTGGTTAGGTTGAGGTGGGATAGGCTTACCTGAAGAGATGAGTCTTAAGGGATCGCCTAAAGGCAGTCAGAGTGGGAGATAGACTGACAGGTTGGGGTAGAGAGTTCCATAGGATAGGAGAAACTCTAGTGAAGTCCTGGAGGCGAGCATGGGAGGAGTTGATGAGGGAGCTGGAAAGC